GATAGATAGATAGATAGATAGATAGTTGTGAACAGACTGAGATAGATAGATAGATAGATAGATAGATAGATAGATAGATGTGAACAGACTGAGATAGATAGATAGATAGATAGATAGATAGATAGATAGATAGATAGATAGATATGAACAGACTGAGATAGATAGATAGATAGATAGATAGATAGATAGATGTGAACAGGCTGAGATAGATAAGTGTGAACAGACAGATAGATAGATAGATAGATAGATAGATAGATAGATAGATAGATAGATGTGAACAGACTGAGATAGATAGATAGATAGATAGATAGATAGATAGATAGATAGATAGATAGATAGATATGATTGAGAGAGGTCAATAGATAAAAACACATGCCTCGCAGTTAAGGCGAGGAAGGGAAAGTAAAAGGAGAGAGAGAGAGAGAGAGAGAGAGAGAGAGAGAGAAAGCAGACAGATAGACAGACAGAGAGAGGTGGGGAAGGAGAGAAAGAGGAATGGGGATTTATACATTGGGCAGAAATGAAAGAAGGGACTCGAAGATGCCGCCTGAAAAACAGAGAGACCTTGTATAAAGCAGTGGAGATAAACTCTCTTGGCTCAGCGGAATAAATGAGTTTTTATACGGGCATTATTTATCCGGTCCTCTTTCCTATCCGATTACATCCGGGAATAAAAGCTACTCAGAAACCACACACACACACACACACACACACACACACACACACACACACACACACACACACACACACACACACACGCACGCACACACACATGCGCGCACACACACACACGCGTGCGCGAGAACCCATCACTCACTCTCTATCTCTCTCTCTCTTTCCTCACACTCTTTCGTTGTTTTGCTGTTCTTTTACACCCCCATGCCTCTGCGGTCATTTTTAGGGCGAGAGATTGATGCAGTCTAATGATTTATGGTTAGTAAAGCCTTCGCTGCTTGATCAGATCTCTTCTTATTTCTTCTACCAGCTTCTTTTTGATTCCACATGTCTTCGAATTTTCTGAGAATTTTCCTTTTCCTTCCTTTTTTTTTCTTTCTGTCTTTATAATTCTTTCTTCCTTTTTTTGTTTCTCTGATACTGTCACTCTCTATTTCCTTTTCATTCTTTCCTTCTCTCATTTTTCGCTTTTTTCCTTTTTTCGCTTTCTTCCTTTCTTTCTTTTTTCGCTTTCTTCCTTTCTTTCTTTTTTCGCTTTCTTCCTTTATTTCTTGTTTCGCATTCATTTGGTTCATTAATTCTTTTTTCTTTCTTTCTTTAATATTGTTTCCTTTTTCTTCCTTGCTTTCTCCCTCACATTCTTTTCTCACTTTCTTTCTTTCTTTCTTTCTTTCTTTCTTTCTTTCTTTCTTTCTTTGAATCCATTTGATTTATTAATTCTTTTTTCTTTTTTTTTTTCTATTTTCTTTCTTTCTCGCTTTCTTCATAACCATTGGATGCCTTCATTGTTTTCGTTCATTTTTGTTATTTTATTCATTCACTTATATCTCTTTCTTTTAGTCAATCTATATTCTTTTTTTCTTTCTTTCTTTCTTTCTTTCTTTCTTTCTTTCTTTCTTTCTTTCTTTCTTTCTTTCTTTCTTTCTTTTGTTTTTAATTTATTCTCTTATACAATCTTGTCTCTTTCTTTCTTTACACCCAACTGATTCCTTCCTTCCTTCCTTCCTTCCTTCCTTCCTTCCTTCCTTCCTTCCTTCCTTCCTTCCTTCCTTCCTTGAAAGAGGGTGGGGTCACTCATCAATCACAGTTCGGTGAGTATTCGGCCAATCCTTTAAATACTATCTCTTATTCTAGCAAAAACATTCTTTCAAATGAAACGAAAGTCCCCCGTCTCCATTGCAGGCGGCCGAAATAAACACGGAAGGCAGGCAATCTAGACGCCGATGATCTCCCCCCCTTATTTCTTATTAGCATTGCATCGATCGATCGATCGATCTGATTGAGTCGCCAGTTCAGAGAGCAGATGCAAGCAGATAACTCTTATGGCTTTGAGGCTCAGCAGAAAAAAAAAAAAAAAGATTGGATATCGTTTCTTTATCCTTCTCCGGGAACTTACATCATCTTTCTGTCACAATGCTTCGAAGATTGTCAACATCTCTCTCTCTCTCTCTTCTCTTTCTCTTTTCTTTGTCTGTCTTTCTCTCTCTCCATCTCTCTCTCTTGCTGTCTCTCTATCTGACTGTTTGTCTTCCGCTTTTCTTTCTCTCACTTTTTCTTTCTTTCTTTCTTTCTTTCTTTCTTTCTTTCTTTCTTTCTTTCTTTCTTTCTCTGTCTCTCTCTGTCTCTCTCTCTCTCTGTCTCTCTCTCTCTCTCTCTCTCTCTCTCTCTATATATATATATATATATATATATATATATATATATGTATGTATGTATGAGATTTTTACGTTATTTTTAGGAGACACGTTGTGGTTAGTCTCAGAGAAAAATTATGCGTTCTCTGGCATGATTGGAACCTATGCCCCCCTCCCTTTCCAAGGGAAACCGTCATAAGATCTGAAATGATTTGACCTCTCGGGTTCAGAGTTCGTGGATTTTTTTTCGCTAATAAGATTTCTCGAATATTCAGGCTGGTAAACGAAAAAAAAAAATACACTGTTTGATAAATAAAATGGAGCGTCTATTCAAATGCGAATATCCGCTAAAAATAACGTTTAAGTCATTAATAAAAACTTTTATACACGCACACGCACATACACACACACACGCACACATATATATGTGCGTGTCTGTCAGATGGCCTGACGATTCTGGCTAATCATGAAACTGATGGTTGCTGCTGGGCGTTGACTTCAATGTCCACTTTTATATTTAGATACGTTCGCATACCTTAAAAGTAAATTTTGTAATATATATATATATATATATATATATATATATATATGAAAGTGAACATTGATGTGAAACACTCAGAGCCGACAGGCTGTTTCATACTGGACGCAATCGTCAGAGCGGCCTGAGTGTTGACTTCAATGTTCACTTTTATATTTATATTTACATACGCTCTATCTCTGATATTGACCACTTTATCCCATAGATACTGCAAACCCTAAAACTAGATTTTTATTTATATATATATATATATATATATATATATATATATATATATATATATATATATATATATATATATGGTAAAAATTCCTAGATTTATAGTGAATGTATGCTTAGTATGGCTGCGTTTATATATATAAACAGTGTGAATATAGGGATCAAAACTGCATGGTGACTGATAGTTCAAGTGTCTTGGTCTTCCTGAAGGAACACTCTTTCACCTGTTTGGTAAATCTTCTGGGACTGATGAAATGTCGCTAGTTTTAAATTACTCGTGTACATCTTGTAAAATTGTTTGAATTTATTTGTCAATCATTATCTGTTACAGTTCATTGCTAATACATATTTCATATTGTTTTTATAGCTTTACATTATGTTCATTAGTAATGTTAGATTCAAAATCCTCTTAAATGAACAAAAGAACATCTCATTAATGAGTATTAGAATTTTTTGGAATTTGGCGTAATGCATAATAGCTCGAAATGAGAAATCGAAGTGCCTAGTTCAAATTGCAGTCGGGTTTATTACCTTCACTTACGCACAAATACGCTTGGAAAATGTATGAATTCGTCTTCTTACCCTTCTCCTCCCAGAATTATCAGGACAGACTGGTTCCTATAGCCTTGGTTGGTAGAGAAAGAAATGACCACCTACTGTAGGAAAATCATCTGCCTAGTCGGTCATGAATCGAAAAGAGACCCGATTTCTTCTACATCAGTCAATGTTGAACAATCACTTCGTAGATGATAAAAGAGACTTGTAGATACAGAGATGTGGTTCTACCAGAGAATTCTAAGAATGTCACGGACAACGAGGACATCTTTAGAGAAAACAGAATTGGCTGAGTTGTTTTTTACAGCTTATCAACCTTTTGCAAGTTATTTAAAGCCAGAAAATATATTTAGAGTGTAAGTATTTTGGGGAGATAATAATGATTTACTGATACAAGTTCTACTAATTAACGCATAGATGACGGAGGGGAAGAGAGGGGGGAAGAGAGAAGATGTGGATTCATGCCTTTTCCTAAGGGTGTTTGCGCTTAAGGGAATATAAGGAATACGACAGGAATTGGAGATTGACTTTCCGATAACCTCAATTTCGAACCATTATTCATTACACCACCCGCACACCCAAACTTAGAGCACTTGATATTGCTAAGCGGTCACTCCTCTAGGTACTGATCAGGCACGACATTGCTTAACATCGGTGATCGTACAAGCAATGTTGTTTCAACATGACATGTTCTTAAGCGGAGAGAATACAGAAACTACATTTCAAAGTTCTAGGATATATGATGAGGAAAGAGAGTCTAGAGAACTTAACACTCAAAGGGTATACTGACATCAAGAGAAGCACGGAAGCAAAAGTTACTTAGGGAGACAAAAGATAGGACGTTATGGAAGGCCGTGATCTCCTATGACCTGAATGGACATCGCTATAAAAGAAAATCTTGCAACTGAAGTAGAACCTGAGATCTTTTAATGTTAGATTTTAAACTATATCTACCATTTTCATTGTTAGTGCATTTATAGACCAGGGGTTCAGTTTCGCTTTTAGGTCAAGGAAATATATTATCTCAAGTTGTAAAGGAGAGATTCCTTATCAGAAGCAATAAAATCAATGATATCCAACACAAATATATCGTTTTAATTTTTGTTTCTACTTATTGTTGGTTAATAAGTTATTTATTTATTTTTAAGGTGCTTATGGAGACAATTATATGCCTTGATTTTGCTCGTCTTTTCTCGTCAGTATCCGAATTAAACCGAGCTGATATGATCTGAGTTGAATTCTTCAAGCGATAACCATTGGCTTAATTACGGAATCGCCCCCGAACCATATATTAATTCTCTGTCAATGATAATTTCATTTAATCTATATTACAAATTCGTGAATATCTAATGGAATCCCATTCCCTGTTTTGCACTCTGCTAGCCACCGGTAAAATATTGAATTTGCCGTGTTGTCGATTCTGGAGATATTGTCCAGAAACGGGGTGCAGCGAAACAGGCTTGCATTTCCCAAAGAACTGTATGGATTGGGTTTGGGAGAAGATTATGGGAGTTGACTGGCTGGTGGTCACGAATGAGTTTGATTGGCTGGGTCGTGTAGCGGCGAAGAGGAGTGAGAGCCGTCGAGTGGAAAAGCAAGCCAATAATGAAATAATAATGGCGGCGAATATTTTTGATGAAGATCCGGGAATTCGTGACACGCATGCGCATCAGGACGATCGAAGAAAAGCCACTGATAGATTGGCGCCAATCAGAACGCCCGGTGAAAGAGGACTTTGGGGATGAGGGCGAAAGAATAAGCGATGAGGGCGAAAAAGAATAAACATATATCAATATATATATATATATACACATATATTATATATATCTATATATACAGTTTCCTTTATATATATTATATTTATATATATATATATACTGCAGCGTTAAAATATATATATATATATATATATATATATATATATGTATTTTATATATATATATATATATACTAAAGATAAATATATATATATATATATATATATATATATATATATATATATATATATACTTTGAAGAATATATATATAATTAAAATATATATATATATATATATATATATATATATATATATATATATATATATATATAGCAGAATATATATGATAATTAAAATATATATATATATATATATATATATATATATATATATATATATATATATATATACTATATATATATATATATATGCAGAATATATATATATAATTAAAATATATGTATATATATATATATATATATATATATATATATATATATATATATATCTATATATATACGGACAGCAGAAACCACAATTTTTCTGTCTTTCTGATTTCTCTGTCTTTCAAAATCCAAAGAAGAATTACGTTGCCTCTTTTTTAATTTTCTATATATATATATATACTGAAATACTTAATTAAAATATATATATGTAATTGTTCGAATATATATCTTCTATATATGATATATATAGGTTTAAATTGTTGTTTTATTCCACCTCCAAGACAATGAATTGTACATATTGGGACCAGTTAGGATTTTCATAGAGACAATGAGCTATTATGGTGTATGTTGTAAGAAACGTAAGTAAGAATGTATTGTTTTGGTGTTAGGAATATTGTGTTATGTTTGGGTCAGTGTTTGTGTCCAGGTAAGTTTAAAGTTAAGACAGAAGAAAACCGTCCTTTTCTCTATCCCCCATTTTGGCCTTGTGCCACATTTTGTAAATATTAACAAATAAATATCGCTCTTTGCTGTGGTACCTAGAGTTTTGAATTTAAGCGCAGTACTAGACTGGCGTCGCAATCTCATCAATTCACAGTTGAGCTGGTTAGATGTACCCGTAAATTCTATGTTAACAGTTTCTTTTCTTGCATTTCTTGCTTGTAAACTACCTTTCGACTCCATGCATTTCATCCAACGTTAATCTTCAAAAATTTTATGTAAAAAATGTGATATCAGTCGCCATCTGCTGCCCCCCCCCCCCTGATTAGGGTTTTTGTTCCTTCTCATTAGAAATAGTTTCTAATTTTTCCATACAATGTAATCCCTTGTGTCTTAGTGACTTTCCTGCTTGGATAGGGTGATATCGAATAAAAAACTTTTAAAAATCTAGTTTTTAGTAGTGAAACTTTCACTCCTGGTCGATGGTAAATAGTGACTGTATACTGCCCATTCTATATGGTCTCATCACAGCTGTGTACCGACAATATGCAAAGGAATACAGGGCATTACATTTGGGGGCCGGTTTGGCTGCAGGAGTTGCCGGTGGTTGTCAGTATTGACCCCACTCAGGATCCCACTCCATATTTTGTGTTTGGATTTAATTCCATAGACTTTTCTGTATTTTCATTAACACACACACACACACACACATATATATATATATATATATATATATATATATATATTATATAATATATATATTTGAAATCTGACTAGATATTATATTGATATATTGTGTTGCTGTAGCGACCTATGTGACTAAACAAGCTAGTAATTGAGTAAAATGTAAGAGCCTCTTTAGTACCTTTTCTGGAAGGTACGAAGTCATGGATGTGATCATACTCAGATACAAGTTACTATATATATATATATATATATATATATATATATATATATATATATATAACGAACGTCCCTCTTCTTTATATTTTTTGTTGGGAGGGAGTTCTGTTGTAAACCATATTCTTAATATGGCAAAAAGAAAAAAAGTTCTGAGTTCTGATAACAATGGAGCAAATCAGTTTTCCCCCTTTCCGAAGTCATCGATTTCTTAAGTTTTTCCCAAACATTTCTCTGAATCCATGTAAACCTTTCTACTGAAAGATTATTTACAAAATCCCCATCATCCAGCGTCTTTTTAAAATCTCATTTGTCTTCCAGTTTTTATTTCAAATGTGATAAAGTGTCATTTTTATCTCGATCTCAAGTGGCATTTCTAAGATGCATCCACTTGATCGAAGGGGAACGGAAGAGTAAATGAGAGGAGGAGAGCTTTTGATATCAAGTGATAAGAAAAACGGCCATGGAGAATCTATATTAATAGACACTATTGGGAACTACCTTGACGTGGGAGAGACTGTCTTTCGGGTAGTTCTTATGCTTCCCGTTCGTATTGCTAGACACAGGCCGAGATATTGATTTGGGCAGAGAATTGGCTAGATTGAAGAGCTGAGCTGTTAGATTGACATGGCAGAAGTTAACCTCAATTTGAGCTTCTGACCATCCAATCCAAGCATGTGAATCCTTGAATAAAACAACTATTTTACAATATTGGAAATAGGGTTCTGATCCTCATTTCTCAGTGTAGCGTTTGTATTTTCACCTATTATTTTGTTGTTAACGTGCAACGGGTCTTTGCCAGTTTTTAATGCGTGGACGAGAAGGGAGAGACAATGTGGAGTGAGTAATTATTGTGCAGATTTGAACCATGTTGAAAGTCATTATTTTTCTATTAAAACTCTCAAATGTCCATGCTGGTAGATACCAATTACACTGTTTAAAAAGACGGAGATGTCTACTTAAACGTGTATCCATTAAATATAGATACCTCCACTAATTCGGTATACATAAGGTTTAAAACCGGGTGACTGTCCTGTTGTATGTTTACATAAGTTGTAATTTGCTATAAAACATGTAACTAAACATTTTGATACTTACCTGGTTTAAATAGAACAATGGCCTTCAAACAGGCGAATTCCGCAGGATCAACTTGAATCGCCTTGAAGCGGGCCAAAATCTCCTGCAGAACCCGGACATCTGCAATGGTGGACGTCTTACCGTTGACCATTTGTGAAGGATCCGACACAACGAACAATGGTGAGGTCTCCAACGGTAACGACCATTGGATCGCGCATAAGAGAAACAGTTCCGTCCACGCTTCCTCGAGGAGAATGACCTAGAATTTCAAGAAAACAGACAGTTAATTTTAGAGTAGAACAATATTTCCAATTCTGATATAGAGACCAAGGTTACTGCAGAAACGTGTACAAATCGAATTTTCGAAATCAATTTTCTCAGCTTGAAAAATACTCTATTATATTCTGTCAGTGTTGTGATAAAAGCAATAATAATATGATGGAATATAATCTAAATAGATAAATGGCATATTGTCTCTCCGTCCAGTCCTTGTGTCTGAAAACCCTCTAACGAGGGCCACACTTGTTCTGCCTAGACATATTATGCCTTTTTGGAATCAGTAGCCCTTGAATATTCAGCATTATGATTTGTGTCTGAATGAATAGGGAACAGTTAAAAATTCAAATTTTAAAATAAATGAAAAACATTGTAGTTTATATTAAATTTAAAATAAAACAAAACTTTGTGATTTTAAAATTTTTTATTTTAAATTCAATTTAAAATATCTCCAAAGGTTTTTAAATTAAGGAAATCAATTTTATTTTTTCAAAATGCCAAGGCGCCAGAGTTAAAGTGAAAGGTTTCGCGTTGTGAGATTTGGAAGATAGTAAGGTTTTGAAGTTAGTGATTTGAAGAAGTCAACTCAGTTGTAGTTCCAAAAAGTTTGTGATTTGAATAAATCGGAATTTCGGACCAAATCGATCTTTTGGTCGGAATTGGACTTATAGTCAGAATCAGATTTAAAGTGACGTTTTGAATTTCCATGGAGTGAAATAAGGAAATCAAAATTATTTCTTCAAAATTATCAAAGCTGTTTTCTAAGAAGCTGGACCAGAGGTTCCTTAGTTTTGAGTCGGAGAACCAATTACCCCCTCGCTTAACAATTTCATTGCGGCTTTTAAGCTAGTTGTTAAGAAAATAACAGTAAGATATCTATTTATTAAAAAAAATGATTGATTAAAATTAGCCTTATGACAACTGTATCGTCATCCTTTATTGATACAGATAAAAACAATAATTATAATATGGCTGAATACAATAATAATAATAATAATCGAAGATTGCTGTCAAACAATAAGATACGCAAACTAGTGAAATAGTAAAAAAAACACTAAACAAACTTAAAACTATTAATTAATTAATGTATCGATGTCGTAATAAAACAATAACAAGATATTTAAAACTAATAATTAATAATAATAATAATAATAATAATAATAATAATAACTATGAATAATGCTAGTAATAATAATAATATCAGACATTTTTGAAAAAGTATTAACAGAAATAATTTTTGAAAAAATATTACAAGAAATACTTTTGGAAAAAAAATTACCAGAAATATTTTTTGGAAAAAATATTACCGGCAGTAAAAATCTTGTCAGCATTAAATAACCCATTGAGGTTGATATACCGTAAAACAAAACAAATCACAACTAATAATACCATATTATTATTAATAATGAACATCGTATCTTTCCGAGTGTTATGATAATAAACAAGAATAATACGATGGAATAAAATTAGTAGTAAATCTATAGTAATAATGAAAAAGGTATCGATTCAGAAGGTTTGTGAAGAAAAATGACGATAGAATGAGAAGTGATGAGAGAAACTAGGAAAGAAAAAGAAGAATAAGGAGAATAATTTATACTTTCATGGCAAATTGTTCTGATCAACTTTCCTTTCTGATATACAGACTTTATGAATTTATGCACACTACTAGATTGACTGATAGGTCTCATCATTTTACAGTCGAAATTTCTAGATGTAACTGTAAGTTCTATGCTGACAGTTTCATCTATCGCACTTCTCACTTGTTGAACTCTGTTGCGGCTTCTTGCTTCCCAGTCAAACTTAAAAATTTAAATGCAATTTCAATCGTTATCTTCTGTCCTCTTAATTTTTGTCTTTTTATGTTTCTCTCTCCTTTTTGTCATATTCTCTAACAATCAGTAACCCTTTGCGTCTTAGTGGCTTTATTGCCTTGCTCGAGATGAAATGATTAAAAAAAAAGCAACGACCCATATCCCTTTCATCTCAATGTAGCTAATGAAGTGTTACTTACAGATACTTTTTTAAAACTAGAATTTCTGTTCATTTTACGTCTAAAGGTATATTTTCGAAAACATTGTTTATTTGTTCAACATTTTCCAGCATATAACAGGCGGAGAAATTCTTTGTTAAATATAATTATTAGTTTGTTCGAAAAATGTGTGATTTCAGAATCAACTTTCATACTTGAATTAATGTATTTGATCAATGTTTAAGTCAATCAAAATGAGAACCTTGAATGTATATACATTTATGTCATCGAGTTACAAGGTTTAATGTATACCTTGATGATAAAACTCTAAAAGTTTGGATACCAAAACGTCTTTGAATGTATTTTCTTCATTTTCTTTGCAATGTAATGTCTTTTGGCTTAAAAAATGGTCACGATGCATGAAAATAAGTAATAAGTGGGCGAGAAACCAGGAGAAATAGGGTGGGTGTGGCAAAGTCTCGTATCCCAAATCGGTGAGATCCTGCAATGTCCTTCTGCCATGAAGTAGAATTAAACCTCGTCTTTTAAGCAGTGATGGTCGCAATTTGCTTAACTGAATGTGCGTTTCATTCAGTTCCAGGCAGTAAACTTTGGTAGTGATGCTCTGGTTAGATTCTAGAGAAGCTGTAATTTAAAAATGGTCACGGTGCTTGAAAAGAAGTAATCAGTGGGCGAGAAACCAGGAGAAATATGGTGCGTGTGCCAAAGTCCCGTATCCCAAATCGGTGAGATTCTGCAATGTCCTCCTGCCATGAATCAGAATTGAACCTCATCTATTAACCAGTGACGGTCACATTTTACTTATCTGAATATACATTTTATCCAGTTCCAGGCAGTAAACTTTGGTAGTGATGCTCAGGTTAGATTCCAGAAAACTGTAACGGATAACGCCAATGGCTGACAACCAGACAATCACCATAACCTTCTTTGGGGGCAATTTAGGGTTTGCCAAGTGTTTTGATCTTTCATAATCATCAATCATTCAATCGATTGTTTACGATTTTCATAAAGTATCGATCTCTCGTCGCATGTCATTATAATATCAAGGAAGGATCATTCAAATTTCGCAGATGCAGCATTGAATATACTTCAAAACGTTAAACTTTTTGGCTTTCGCTGAATTCAACTAAAACCGAGTTTTTCATCATGTTAATTTTCTTGAGATGGTCTGATATTGTTAAAATATCAACACCCATTATCCGAAACATTTATCTGACAATTTGATGTACGTTTTTGTTCGATTAGTGTTTTCAGATGTTGATTGTCAACTGTAGATGGACGTCCCCTACCACCTTTCCCTTCAAGACTCGTATCCACACTACGCAACTTCAATAACCAGCGGCGTACTGTCCGATCACAAGTGGATCCTTCACCTTATGCTCTCTTAATGTTGGTAGCAGTTTAAGAAGCATTATGACTAAGCATGTACTGAATGTTTTAAGTTAAATACTGAAAGAGATTGATATAAAATTTTCAAAGAGAACACTTTCATTATTAGAGATGTGTAATATATTTTTTCTACAACTATTATAATATTAGATTAGAATACAGATGATCAATTTTAAAATTGGTCATAATTTTCTGAATAACCTAATATTTCATACAAGTGATATGGAATTATGAAAGGGAAAGAATTCAAAAATACATAGCTACCTGGTCTCTGAATGGCAGATTGGCAAAGGAAGGTAGATTTTTGGCCCATTTGACAGCCATAAATAGCAGTCTGGCCGAACATTCATTGATCGTTTCCTGTTGGCTTGGATACAACGCCGCGGCCTCTGGATAGGTGGGCTGCTGGGTAGCTTGCTGAACCGAGTGATCGGGTGGTGGCCCGTGCGAAGAATGCTGTTGCTCCGGCTGGTGATCGACGCTGGTGACATCAATATTTTCTTCTTGAACTGAAACCGAGAAAAATAAAGGTAAAAGGTTACTCACAAATTGTAATAAGATTTTTGCTTGCATAAGCTTAAAGTAGTTTTTAAATAGTTTTATAAAAAAAAAAAAAAAAAAATAACAAAACTGTCTCGCCACTGATACATTTATTTATAATATATATATATTATGAAATGGACAAAGTCCGATAATTATTTAAAACATTTTTTATGTTTATACGTTCTTTTTATAGATACAAATATTTAAGTAAATGCTCTGTTTATAATAAACTGTATAAACAACATTCACCGGTTTGAATATCCGAGAAATTTTCACAGAAAATATGCTTCCTCCCACAGGAATCGAACCGTCATATAGCCTGACGTGCCTTAACCGATTGGGCCACAGAGAAGCGTTCCGTTAGCAAGGAGAATTGTGTTTAAAAACAGTAAAATCGACCTGGCTTGTTTATTAGAAACAGAGCATTTACTTAAATATTTGAATCTATAAAAAGAAAGTATAAACAATAAAAAATATCTTATATATATATATATATATATATGTCTTATATATATATATATATGTGTCTTATATATATATATATATATATATATATATATATATTATATATATATATATATATATATATATATATATATTATTTTATATATATATATTTTTTTTTTGTTGTTGTTGTTGTTGTTGTTGTTTAACGTATATTTCAAATTTTCCTGGGTTAAAATAGAAACTAAAATGATACATATGACACTCATCCTCTCTCTCACCTCACTTCCTCACTTCGTTAACTTTGCGTATACTTGATTAGGTCCGTAAAAAAAACGTGTGAATTTCTTTTCATTCTTCATTTCAGCTTTTGGAAGTAAAGTCTGATGATCCAGAACCCTGTTAAAGGGGTTATGGTGAAATAGCTTATTACATGGAATCTTAACGTGGTCTGTCTTTTTTCATATATATATATATATATATATATATATATATATATAAAATAAAAATAACGCAAACAAAATAAATATATTAAAATAATTGTCGGATTACTCTATTTCATTATGGAATAAGTAAAACAATTATTTTAGTTTATTGTTTTTACTTTATTTCTATAGATACAAATATTTAAGTAAATTCTCTGTTCATACACTTAGCATAAAGAAAACTGAAGTTGTGCACCAACCTTGTCCTACTCCGAAGCAATTGCGTGGTGAGAAACAAAAACCACTAGTCTACAAATTTCCAGAGAGACCATTGAAAGTAGAAGACAAACCCCTGAACTATGTAAAGTCTTTCACCTACCTTGGTAACAAAATCAATTACAGTGGAACTTTAGATGATGAAATCATGCATCGGATTGCTAAGGCTACCAGTGTTTTCGGCAAACTTCGCCATCGCTTGTCGAATGAGCGGGGTATTCGACTGGATACGAAAATTCGGGTTTACAGAGCTGTTGTACTTGCCATCCTTTTGTATGGCTCAGAGTCATGGACTCCATACAGGTACCATATACTCCAGCTAGATGTTTTCCATAAAAGCTGTCTGCGTGCAATCTGTGGAGCTTCAAGATAGGACATCTAACGTAGACCTGTTTAACAGGTGCAATATTGGAGGAATCGAGACTTTTATCATACAGTCTCAGTTACGGTGGACTGGTCATGTCTTGAGAATGTCTGATGACAGGATACCCAAGATCCTAATGCACAGCCAGTTAGATCAGGGCTACAGGAATGTAGGACACACATGGCTAAGATACAAAGACAAGCTGAAAAGCAACTAGACAGCAGTTAATATATCACATAACACCCTTGAGCGCTTAGCTTTGGAGCGGGTAGAATGGAGATCAACGTGTTTTAGTGGACTTAGCAATTTTCAATCTGCTTGCCTGAATCATCTTCAAGAAGCTAGAGCATGAACTAAAAGGTCAGCCAATCTAAGAGTGATCTCATCTCACAATCCTCACACTTGCTCCATATGTGGCCTCCTTTGTAAATCACTAGCGGGTCTTAAATGCCACTTAAGATTATCGCATAAACTTTCATAACTGAATCAATAAGCTGGCAGATCCTCATACGTCGAAACCGACGGGAGAGTCCATTATATATATATATATATATATATATATGTGTGTGTGTGTGTGTGTGTGTGTGTGTGTGTGTGTGTCTTTAGAATTGGAATTATGAAAATTTTAGTAAATGATCATTTTCGTCTACGAATTTTAATTTTTAAATTCGTAGGATTTTTCAAGCTCTTTATGGTATCACTTTGTAGTGTACTCTTTATTTGGAGAGAGAGAGAGAGAGAGAGAGAGTATGTTATAGGTGACTTATTGGGAGGTAAAATGAAGGCACCGTTACTGGAATCATATTATGGAGGTAGGAAAGCCTGGGTAAGGGCAGGTTGAAAAGCTTTTTGGGGAGAAACTGCTGTCTGATCTGATTTGATCCATAATATGATTCCAGTAACGTTGCCTACTTCTTCTCCCCATACCTCTCAATAAGTCTCCTATATACCATACTCTCTCTCTCTCTCACTCTCTCTCTCTCACTCTCTCTTTCTTTCTCCAAATAAACTACACTACAAACTGATACCATAAACAGCTTGAAAAAAAATTAAAATTCGTAGGTGAAAATGGTCATTAACTAAAGGTATCTTAATTCCAACTGCAGAGAAAATTTTTCTATGTTTAATGAAAATAAACATTGAGCGCCCTTTTGTGAGTCAGTTTTAACATATTTCAATTTATATGTTGTGTTTATAGGATTCACCTGGATTATACCAACGGATTACTACCTATATATATATATATATATATATATATATATATATATATATATATATATATACATGTGTGTATATAAATAGGATTATATATATATATATATATATATATATATATATATATATAATACTAGTGGTTAGAACACACACACACATATAAATAAATATATATATATATATATAATATATATACATACATACATACACACACATATATATATATATATATATATATATATAATTTCAAGAGGATAGAATCCAGGTAGAACTCAATGTCCAGGACAGAGTAAAAATACAATAAAAAGACTTAAACATCAATATTCTATGCTTATAATTCATTACCTTGGAATCGTATTACGATCCAATTCATCAGAACTACAAATTCAAAAAAAGAAATTAGAATTATTTTCTTCTGATTTCTTTTTGATTTTGTAGTTCTGATGAATTGGGTCGTAATTACGATTCCAATGTAATAAATTATAACCATGGAATATTATTCGTTAAGTCTTTTTATTATATATATATATATATATATATATATATATATATGTCTGTTTGTGTGTGTGTAATATATTATATACTAGGTTTATAGTAGAATCCTGTTCTTTTACTGTCCTTTCCTTCAAAATTCTCACTAGTATTCTCAAAATCTCTTTCACTCCCTGTAAACCCTTGCGTCCTAGTGGCAATATCACCTTGCTTGGGGTGAAATGATTCAACCTGTTAGAAATGAACCCCAGTCAGAGAAACGGAGCAAAGGAAGTAACATGCTGCAAATTTATAAATTCCAGCTGTGTCATAGAAAGGTAAGTGACAGGGTCATCTCTGCAAGTCGTTTTAATGCATCACTTGCAGAGATTGATAAGAATGGTAAACACGGCCGTCATAATTACATTATTAGTAATCGAAGAAATTTAAAAAAATAATAAGATATAGGTTAAATAGAGTTTATATCGAGAAAAAGTCATTGTTATTTACAAAATCTAAAAACAATCTAAAATAAGTTTCAGTTTTAAATGACCCACAAATCGTTGACAAACCGTAAAGAAATGAATCAATCAATTCTTTTGTTATCTTCTCTGGGAGTTTTGTAGTTTTCCTTTTGTGGCTGCTATCAACACAATGTCATCCAAGTATCGTATGTTGTTAAGATGATGGTCACCAATGATAAAACCTGTTAAGATTTCTCATTCTATCTGTACAAGTTAAATAAATCCGATGAGAAACAGCATCTTTTAGATTGTCTAGAGGCTTCTTCTTCTGTGTGGAGTCCCTTCAATAAGGTGGCGATCATGGCTCCCCACAATTTCCTGTCCTTTGTAGCTTGTAATTAATTTTATTTTTTTCTTACCTTTCCTAAAACCTGTTCTGCCATCTATTTATTCAACCTCGCTAGGTATGTTATGTGTTGTTTTCCTTTGTCCTTCTTGCTTTCAATCTGTCCTGTTGAGTATCAAACTTTCCAAGCCCCCTTTCTTCATTATGTGCTCTAAATATTTCAGTTGTCTCTTTCTGATGTTAAATATAAGTGTCCTTTTTGTTTTCCATTTACTCGAAAAACTTTCGTCGGTCCATGGTGTCCTAAACATCCTTTTGTAGATCCACATATCTATTGCTTCAAGTGTCTTCTTCATCTGTGTGGAAACATGTCCAGCATTCATTGGCATAAAGGAGGACTGATGTTACGTAATAGTTCAGTATTCTTTTCTTTGTTCCTAACGAAATTTTCCTGTTTCTTAATTCTTTGCTTAGCTTTTGGAAGTCATCTTTCACTATTCCACTCCGCCTTCGAATTTCAGTGTCCTGTTAATACTCTTACGAGATATTTAAATTGTTGCACTTATTTGATTTTGGTATCTTCAATTTGTAATTTGGGTTAAAATGACCTTGTTCGACGTTTAAATGTTAATTTCTTTTTAGTCTTTAGCGAAAGACTTACTATAATTATAGGTTGAAGTCCTCCAGTTAAGCATTAATGTGTAACATCGATTTGTGCCCAGAATCCTAAAAGCGTTTTAGTGTTGAACAAGATAAATGCAATCATCACTTCTATTCTAATAGTTTTATTCCTCGTACTTCTCGTCTGTGTCACGCACACAAGCAAACACACACACACATATAAAGGGTAATAAAGAGAGCGAGAAAGAAAAAAAGACAAAGAGCGAGGTACATCCTTGCTTCCATAGCCATACCAGATCATCCTTATTGCTAAAACTAACTGATGTCATTTAATAATAAT